ATTTCTACATTTATTTCTCATATATCTACTAAAGTTACTTTTAAGAATAGTTTCTACTATTTTGCCTGGTATGGGCATGACATTTAATAGTTCATAAGATCTTCTTTAAAAATGGTAAAAATGGTAGGATGTAAATATATTTTCCCTGTGTATGACCAAAAAAGTAATTGAGAGCCTTGGTCTCCAAGAAAGAAATGTTTTATACAACTACCAGCCTGCTTTGTCTGATGGGCACCCAGTGCACTCAGAGACTTCCAGCTTTTCTTGCTCTGATCTGTGTATTCCTAGAGGCAGATTTGGTCTGTTTTATGCTGACACATTAGTACCTGCTTTTACATGTGGCACACTGATGGCTGAAGGCTGTGGACAGCAGCACATCGAGGTTATCTTGGAGAGTCAGTAGGTTAAAAAAGGAATCAGGCAAATCATAAGGGGAATATCTGTTAGTCATCAAGACAGTTCTGGCTTAAGAAGTCCTGGTGCACTGAGGAAGAGCTGCTCTATGCTTGCCCTTTCATTCCTGAGGACACTGACAAGGGCCACTCAGTGGTGATGGTCTGTGCGGATCTTTAGTTGGAGTAAATTATGTTGATAGGTGATTATGTTATATAGATATTAAAATCCAGGCATGCTTTATTGCTGAACTGCTGCACTTTGCATGGGAGAAAGGTATCAGGACAACCTGAATAAAGGTATGGCATATGTGTTGGTTTTGTTAAACATATCCGTCACAGGCAAAGACTTCAAGTAGTGTCTTACTGTTGGTGCTTTGTAGATTTTGAAAATGCAATCAGTATTGCAATGTTTTGTAGTTTTGTAATATTTCATTTTGAAATATTAATTTTGGGGGTAGTCTTACTTATAAAATGTACATTCTCCTGGTTCACTGCTCCTTGCTTATTTCCTTCTATCTGCCTTACTTATACATATTTGAATTTGCAGAGTTATTGTCTGGAAGCAGACAATACAGAAAAAGTTATGTTATGGGATCTACAGAAATACCACATTAAATAAACCTCTGATGATATACACTTTTTAAAACAGTGAAATCAAATACTTCTTGTTCACTGAAAATCAGTTTCTTCCTCTGTGTTTCACCTGATCACTTTCCCTGGATCACTTTTAAATCTTTCACTTCACAAGATATCTGCTGCTGTATGAGCTGTGTTTTCCTTGGAAGACCATGTACATATTTAATGAGTTTAAAATCTGTCTTATCAGAGGAGAAGGAGCACCCTGGCAAGGTTTGCTTTTAAAGGAAGCCCCTTACGTGGTCCCTCCCACAACCCTACAGTAGCGAAGGTCTCATTAATCTTTGATTGGTACATAAATTTTTTTCTACACTCATGAAACATGAAAAATATAAACTGAGGCTAGAATGAAGTGAATACTTCTACAATTTCTTGGTCAAAACTAATGATTTGGTGATGAAAGCATAGCTCCTATTGATTCCAGCATGAGATCTCTCACAGGCTGAGGGCCAGGAGCATCACAGGGGAGCCTTGGTTTTATTAATCACTTTTGTCAATGGTGTCCCATAGTGCAGCACGTCCCTCTTGAACTACTTTCTTCCACGACTGTGTTCTTTGCATCTTTCAGTGTTGCTCCAATAGGCTAAAAATAAGGACACTCTTTGCTGGGAAATGTTTCCTGGCAAGAAAGCAAAATGTTGGACAAGACTACCTATTAGAGTACGGAAATTTCTTCACGGGAGACAGCATTTGCTGTTGTCGAGTCTTAGAGAATATTTGTTGGCTACTCGGATTCATTAATTAGCCAATAAATTTCACTTACCTATTCTTTAAGAAGCTTTGAGTTTAATGGCTGGAGGTTTTTTTTTTTAAAAAAAAGATGTAGAAAGTTGAAATCTGCAGCACACTTACATAAGCTGAAAAAGTGTTCTGGGCATCAGATCTGAAGGGAGAAGTAGTTTCCAGTGCACAGTAGCAATGACTAAAAGTTGAAAAGTGGGCAGTAACCTCTTTTTCTTGTTCTGCTGTTCAAGAAAGGTACATCTGTCACACCCAAATGTTGCACAACTTATGCAAATTTGTATATAGACCATTATTTTGCAAAGATTGTGTTATTGAAGTGAGTTAAATATAATTCAAAATAAGTGACGTTTAGAACTGCAGATTGTCCAAGGTGTTGCAATTATTTAGCCCACTTGTTCTTTACTAAGACTAAAATCATATTTTACAGGATTTGTAGCAGATTTTCAATCATTATTAAAACATAATTAATCATGGATTCAAACAAATCCTTCTCGGGTCTAGTTCCTGTATAATGTGAATCTACAGCTCATAAAATTTGCAGGAAAAGATACCCCTTTTGGGGGATGGGGGTGGGGGGTGGAAGTGGGGGAGAGGGAAGGTGTGTGGCTGTGTTTGTGTGGGAAACTACATATGAGACTTCTCTTACCTCTGACTTTCTGAGGGTCAGGCTACCAGAGGCAAAGTTAAGGAGAGGTAAAATATCTTTAAGACAATTTTACTGCCAAAGAAAATATGAAGTGCAGCTAGACTTCTAAACCAAATGCCAATACTTTTATCCAAAGTTAGATGTAGCTCATATCTCTGTTCTATAGCTCCTGTGGCCTCATTGTACATGGATACATGTTAATGGATTAAATATCAAGAGCACCTCTAAAAACTTCCCCCACTGGGACGGAGGGTAATATTCCTTTTGCTGTCTTTCTGTGCTCACTTACAGTCTGACTGTGATCTCTACACCTGAGCTAGTCACTCTTCAGATACCATTATAGCCACGGGCAAAGCACAGTAATGCATTTTGGGTGCTGTTCATCTGGTATATGTTGGTTATCTACTTTGAGTAAAAGCGAATCACACCCCAGAAATGCTTTTTTCTTCCAGTGATTTTCAAGGAAGCCTGAGGCAATTCTCACATGGTGCTGTTATTGCAGGTGTGTATGTTTAGTCAGATAAATCCCATCGAGAAAAATACAAGTGCAAATACAAGTGCAAAGAGTTGCTAAAGAAAAATACTACTACGGATCATGAGCTAAAAGCCCACTGATGTCAATAGATGGCAGCATTGTAAATGGTAAAGCAGAGCCTTCTGTCTG